AAAAAATCACCAGAATAGCCGCTAGTACGTAAACAAATTTATTTCAAGACGTTTTTTTAATAATATAAGTATAACAAACGAGCACACAGTCCACCTGATGTTAAGTGGATGCGGTGGACATCTACATTTATCAACAATTAAAAATCTAAATGCACATGCGTTGCCAGCCCTGAGGACTGAGATGTAATGCCTCGTTTCCAGTAAAAAGGGTCTCCAGTTCTCTACACTCACCATACGAATCACAGCAGCATTAGCTGCTATTTTAAGCTGGTATTCTATGAGAGCGTGGTGCTTCCCCGGTCGAGCCGACTTATTCGTGCTGCAACGACAATATAGCTGCAGCACGGTTCTACCACGTAAACTCGTTTTAATGACTTATGAATATCAATAGATTGATTTTTTGTTATGTCATCTTTATCATCATCATCATCCTATCACAAGTCCCCTGTTTGAACATTGGTCTCGCGTATTCAGTGCCACAAAGTACGGTCCTATGCCGTCTTCATCATCAGTATCCATCATACTACTCCTGCATGTTTAATGAGATGGCCACTCCATCTAGTGGGGGGTCACCTAAAGAACCACCTCGAGAACCTTTTTTCTCATTCGCTTGTCGGTCCTTCGAGCTATATGGCGGGCCCACTTCAACCTACTGATCGGCTTCTCTATATTAGTAACACTTGTTCTTCTGCAGATATCCTCACATGGATACACTCATCACGCAGAAAAATTTAGATGGTTATCCTCTATATCACCGAGTGACTTTGATTTTGCTCTCAGGGCCAGGAATGGTAAACTTAAACCTAAACCTTTCTGGTACGGTTAGACATCACTGGCAACACGCACTAGCGGTTTACTTTTGTGTAAGTTTCTGAATTATATCTGGCAAAAAGATTTTTCAATTTTACGATCGCGGCATAATTTATTTTATTTAGCATTAATGAAAAATTATTTAATATTTGAATTTGAGCAATTTATAAATGTAGTAAATTGCTTGTTTTTATCATTATAAAAATAAGCAATTTATTATTTTTAGATTTGTAAAAACAATACTTACCACCTTTTCCCACTGAAAATATTCGTTTTATCTTCTTCATTATTGTTAAGCATAACAGGTCTTTATAGCAATTAATTGGGATTCAAATTCTTGTATCACAAAACTTGAAAGTTTGTTTACTCAGAGAATTGGGTCTACGTGCAAAATTAAGACTTTTATACAGTCATTATGCTAAAACTGTATAGGTATGAGCTAAACATAGATTGTTTAGTCAGATCTTATGCTAAAGTCACACGTGAGAACAAACATCTTTTTAACCCGAATCCCTAATATTTTTGTAGTGTTTAGTGGCAATAAAAATTTTCGCCAAAAAATCGTGTATGTACTTCTTATGTAATAATTAATTTATTAGATTATTTATAAAAATGAATAAAAAATATTTAGCACTGATAAAACTGGCAGATAACTATAAGGCACGTAGAACAGTGAAATTTATTTAATCTTTTAGAATTTGTGAGATCTATAAAATAATAATATTCTCTTTCAAAAAGATTTACCTAATGAGATACCCAAAACAAATGTTTCAGTGATCGATATAAAAGAAATTACAGCTACACGATTTCGAAAAACGCGCACGCGAATGTTTGGCCACTCGCCTCGACGTTCACTACACCATACTGCCTACGTTCAACTAATTGTTATTTGTCAATGATAGTCCCGTAGTCCCGTAGGATAACTACGAGTATATTTACAGCGACCTTTTTTTTATAGAAGAGGGGGCAAACGAGCATGCGGCTCACCTGATGTTAAGTGACTACCGCCGCCCATGATCAACCGCAACACCAGGGGAATTGCAGGTGCGTTGCCGGCCCTTTAGAGAGGAGTAAGCTCTTTTCTTGAAGGTCCCCAGGTCGTATCGGTCCGGAAAAATCACCGGTGGTAAACTATTCCTTATACAACGTCTTATTGACCTTTCGTCTATAAGACGCAGGGCATGGTAGGCCCTTTATTTCTTGATAAGTTGCATGCATAAGTTATTTCTCTAATAACTTTATAAAAAAGTCAAAATTATCTTTTTATATATAAGAGTAACAAACGAGTACACACTCTACCTGATGGTAAGTGGATACTGTGGCCCATAAACATCTACATTTATCCACGATTAAGAACAGATGCATTGTCACCCCTGAGGACTAAGATGGAATGCCTTGTATATAGTAAAAATGGTCTCCGATTCTCTACAGTCACCACACGAAACATAGCAACATTAAGCTGCTATTTTACGCTGGTATTGTGTAGTATTGTACTGTGAGTGTCGTGTAGTCTTCCCCGGTCGAGCCGACTCATTCGTGCTACAACCATAATACAGCTATAGTATGGCTCTACCACGCACGAACAGAATTGAATTGAAATTAATTCATTGGCTATTAAGGTAAAATCGACTATCGAGATTATTTAAAATTTTTTAATAATGGTGCATTGCATTCTGACGTTCAGTTTGCACACAGAACATTCGCGCCGTAGTACTCAGGTATTGTGAATTGCAATTTATGATCTGTGCAGTCAACTTTCAATAGTCAGAGGAGTGACGATAGCCTAATAGTTAAATAAGCGAACAACAAACTCGGAAAGTCGTGGGTTGAAATCATCCAGTCGACTACCGTCGTTAACCACACCTAACACAAGCATTATACATTTACATGGAGTGCTTAATATTCATAACTAATACTTAAATAATAGCGTTACTAATATTCCTTATTACAAAAAAGTATCGTGTATAATAAAGTAAAATATCGTGTGTAAAATATAGTATCGTGAACTCAAGCAATATTTCAAGAATCAACCAAGGTTATACCAAAGTAGAAAGACAATTTCGTTCAAGATCCCACGACAGTGTATGATCATGAAATAACCGACGGACCTACAATTTTCCAATTTACTCAATTGAAATTTATGTTCCATTTATTTTAAACTCGTTAATTAACAAACATACCACTGTCCGTAATTATTGGGATCACATCACACTTATTTAATATAATACATAATTTTAGGCGTCAAAGGAGGAAACAAAATTTTGTCGAGAAGAAACAAGTATGTAAAATACTAGTTTCATTTATTTTTTCATTATCATAATTTAATTTCCTGTTTTTAATGCGTAGTAGGGTTCATTCATAAATCGAATTAAAGTAATTTGCCGACATCTGTCTTTCCGTCCAAATACAATCTGGGCGTATTCAAGGCAAGAGTGAAAAGGCTTTTGTTATGCGAAGAGTTACGCGAAGACAGTGGGATTTACCATCTAGATCTACACCACCTCTTACCGCCATAAATTAAAAAAAAACTAATCGTGGTGTCTAAAGCCTCGAAATGAATGTCTTACTGTTAACCTTATTAAATTTAAAGGAACAAACTGAATCATACAATTCATACCGCATTGTATGATTCAGTTTGTCGATTTTTATTATTACGTAGCGTAGCGTGTATTAGTATTATTAAATGAATTGCCTTTTAGGTGGAACATAGTGTAACTTATCATACCTTTTCCACCAAGTTTGTTACTTTTTACCTGTTTTACAAATAAATTATTTGATTTGATTTCATTTGAATTTTCAATAAATAAAGCTGTATAAATTGTATAGGTATTCGTTCCTAAGTAAAAATAAACTGCTAGAATTGCAAATGTAAGAAATCGTAGGGATGAAAGGACACACCATGTGTACATATTTACACTGATTATACTATTGTGTTCAGTTTCATCTCTTCATCTCGTAATAGCTGAAAATCAGTGTTTGCTTTCTGAGCAATATTAAACGCTGAGCTAGGACCCATTTGTTAAACCGCAACACCCACGTACATTTAGATCTTAAGTTTTTGTAACTATTTTCGTAATACGTTATTTTGTACCTAGTTTAGTCACTGAAATTCATGGGTGTGATTGGAGTAACAAATAAATGTTTTATCTATGTATTATGAATTATCTAAAAATTTTGACATCTAGGTAAAAAATCCCAACCATTAGGTCTTAAATAATGTATACAATAACCCGGAGATAAGAAAAAAACTTGGTTACAGACGTGATAATAAGAGTGGTCTCAGACTAATGACATTTTAAGTACACAAGCAACGTAGGTAATAGGGATTTAATAGATAATAAATATGAGAACGGCTATATGAAAAATATGGAGATATTATTGTGTTTAAAATGAATACAAAAAAAAAGCCAAAACTTATTTTAAGGAGAGTAGAGCAACATTAATCATGCCTCAATTGATGCGATTTGTATGTTTATACCTTATATATTGTATGGCCGATATAAAAAAAACAACTATTAGTAGTACTGGTACTAGTATTGGCATGCACAGTATACTGTTAAAACAGAGATTCCCAAAAGGGTCAAAATCGGTTTCACAGGGGTCGAAATTCTGACCAAACAAACAAAACTGATTTTGTTTACTTTACGATTTTAAATATTTTTTTAAATAACTACCTACATAAATATTTTTACGCAATTTGTGTTAATAATAATTATTAATTACACTTGATATATACTGAATTTTATATCTATTTATTTTATTAAATTTTGATTAAAGAACGATGTCAACTTTACTCACTTTATCAACCGTATAGTTTTTAAATTTATTAGTATTTTGTATCAATAGGAAAAAACTAGAGATGGATATTTAAAGTAATTTGACTATGAGAGTATCAGTTGATTTTGGAATAGGGATCTCTTGCCCAAAATAGTTTGGGAATCCCTGTGTTAAGATGCCGTGTTGTGGCGATGCAAGATAACTCATCATTCCATTTCACTGTCTTAAGAGGTGTCTTTTGTGAAGTAAAGAATCCAATGATACACAAACTTATCATCGTTGCTAGGCGTGACAACTATGCAAATATTCTCCCTATGAGGCAATCTATGCAAGGTATATGTACAGCAATGGACTTTTGATCGGCTTTAATAAACGAATGAATGAAAAAAAAACATTTGTATCGGACAACTTACCCTCAGCTCGAGCGCGTCGTTCAAATTCGTCGAATAGTCGGTTCACGTCCTCTATTTCACGTCGCAGACGTCGCAACTGCGGGTCGGCCGCATCTCCTTCTCCCAACAGTTTCTCGGCGTCCTCGTTCAATGCGCGACGGATCGCCTGCCGCTGTTCCGCGCCCATTGCTACGAACTGAAAGTAGCAACATTGCTCAGTACACTGATATAAGGTGTACGTCCAAATTATTATAAAATGACAGCGTATAAACGTCTTACTGCTGGAACCAGGCCTTCTCCCATTTCTGAGAGGGTTTTAAGGCAAGTAAGTGTCCGCCGCGCTGTTTCAATACGTGTTGAAAGATTTTTATGCAGGTTTCTTCGTGATGCTTTCCTTAACCGTCAAGCACGCGGTAAAATCATCGATCCCCATCACACATCACGTAACTTGCCTTATAAAGTCTACTTTTAAAGTTTAGATAGGTAAGTAGGTCTCTTTGAAAAAAACACTCAAGAAGTTTGCTCGACTCAAGTTAGTAGGCAGGTTGATCGATACGAAGTCAATAACCATATATTAACAGTTTGTGTGTTTAGTTTTTTCCCCGCTAATCAGCTGGATTACAAGAAATGCAGCATCACTATAAGAAAGGACTGAATGCAAGAAAGGTTGACGTTGGGAAAAAAATACCCTAATATACACTAATGATTTTAAAATAATTAAAAAGGGGTATATTCGAACTGTTGTTGAAAAAAGAGGAAGTCATCTGTTCTAACCTATCTCTCCAAATTTAATTTACCGACTGCGAAAATGGATTCGATAATAATTGAAGTTGATAAATGTTAAAATAACAATAAATAGATCGGCAGTTCAATACCAACAAGTTATTAATTAGTTGCAAAAGTTTGGGCTGATGACTCAAATGCTTTACAATCGTAGAAAATATAACAATTTTGACACAAAAATCCTAAGTATATGAATGAAAATTACTGAATCGATTAAAAAAAAAACATAGATACATTAAAACATTGTGAACCTTCCCTTTTGAAGTGGGTTTTAAATCTTTATTTTAAGGGAGCTTTACCATGTGTAATAGACAAACGCTATTTTCACTCTCAAAATTTGTTAAAAAGCATCTCAACAAATTTTGTAAAGGAGATTATAATATTGTTATATAGAATAAGGATGAAAAACGAGCACACAATCCACCTGATGGTAAGTGGGTAATGTGACCTATAGACATCTATATTTATCTTCGATTAGAATCTGGTTCTTTCACCCGTGAGGATTAAGATGGAATGCCTCGTTTCCAGTAAAAAAGGGTCTCCGGATCTCTACACTCATCATACGAAACACAGCAGTATTAAGCTGCTATTTTACACTGGTATTCTGTGAAACATCAATCTCTCCACTTTTCTAAGAAATCAACTCCTCCAGCTATGAAATCTGCCACATATTTCACCTCATTACTAAGCAGCAGCGCCCTGATGGCAGAAAAAATCGTGACTTCCCTTATCATAATATGACATCAATGCATAATTACTCACTTGTGGGAAGTCCCATCCTTTAACCACCTTGATGGTAGCGAAGATCATATTTTGTCGCATACGAAGTTGCTTCCTCTGCCATAGTTGGATCACCTTCAAAATGTACAGCACTATGAGTATACACATATCCGTACAGATGACGAGCGATATTTGTATTACTGACGGATTTGCACTGAGTCACAAATATATGATATAAACTTTGAAAATATACAATGATAACTGATTATTACATATTAATGTAGTCATTTTAATTCGTTGACGTTATGCTGTTTGGTTTATGTAAATATTATAATTACTTTTTAATAAAACTACTTTTGTATCGTGTAGTGTTGGCGTAAGGGTATCCACTACTCTATATCATACTGTGGGTGCGTAAGGTGTCGCCTTATTAGCAAAACTGAACCAGGAGATGGGCAGCAGCACAACTGTGGTTGCCAATCCACTTGCTAAAGGTGATAACTATGACCGCATCCCTCCTATGTAGAAATCTATCGGGGAGGTTTTTATTCAACAGTGACTTTTGATAGGCTGTAATGATAATGATAAAACTACTTTTGTGAATGTTATCGCGTTTAATTGAATTTATTAACTATCGACGTTTCGAGTGCTTTGCAGTACCTTTGGTGTCTCTTAGTTAAGATGGGTGCTGCAGGGCACTCGAAACGCCAAGAGTTAAGAATTAGTTTAATTAAACGCGGTCTAATTCGTAAAATTAATTTTATTCAATGTGTAAAGTTCGCGTAAATTATTATATCGTTTTGTTTATGTAAATAACAAAAATTACATTTTGTATGCACGTATATTTTAGAATGTATTTGTTTTTATACGTTTGTGTGTACGTGTGTACAGTGTAAGACAATCCATCATCCTGTCCAAAATATCTTATAAGTTGTCGAATAGATGTTGGTATAACAATCTCCTTTACACCAGCAACAGACAGCCAGCGTTAAAGTTGCTTTCATTTGGCACTGCGATCGTCAATCCGCAAGTCAAGCGTGACTACCGAAGACCTATATCGAGCGTGTTTGCGTCGCGTGCGTTTTTATCATGTCTAACGTGTGTGTAAGTTTGTGTGCTGTGTGTACGTATATGATCGCCTGTGAACGTGTGCGTACGTACGTGCGTGCGTTCGTCCGCGCATGTGTGTGTGTGTACGTGCCATGTGTGTGTGTACTTTCGTGTAAACGTGTATTACATATGTGTATGTGTGTGTTTGTGCGTGTATATGTGCGTGTGTGTACAGGTACGCGGTAGTATGCGCTTCACAGGAGTGTAACGTGTCATGGGTGATGCGTGCGTGTATGCGTGTACGTACGCGGTCGTACGCGCTGCGCAGCGCGTCGGCTGCGTGCAGCGCGTCAGCACAAGGCGGCGGCAGCGCCAGCACGGCGGCCGGCAGCACCGCCTCCGTGCCAGCACCGCCCACGCGCACGCGCCATCGCACGCGCCCCGAGTTGTCCACCACACTCACTGACGATCCCTTCTCTATCGCCACCTGGTTTATTTTATTTATTTAATTAGCCACCAATCACGTATAACCTTTAAAAATTGTAATAAAAAACACAGCGAAATACTCAAATGTTACTTAATTTTAATACGTTATTATGTATCGTAGTGTCACAGTCACTTAGACAATACGATATTTAGTGGCATCTTAAACGTGCTAACACAAGCTTAAATTGCAATTTTTTGATATAAAGGGTGATAAACGAGTACTCAGTCTACTTAATGATAAGTGAATGCAATGGCTCATAGACATCTACGCGTACAAATACAGTACAAATATAGCTACAGCGTGGCTGTAGCACATCAAGAGCTAAGCAAAGTGGCTCACGTTGGCGTGCTTGTAGGCGCAGACCGTTTCTGCACGCAGAGGGCGTGTGACGGGCGCGCGGCGCAGCTTGACGGGGCGCACGAGCTGCGCGTCCTGCGCGACGCGTGCCACGAGCGCGCCGTGCGCGTTCAGCTCCTCGCGCAGCTCCTGCATGCCCTTCAGCAGTCGTTCGCCCTGGTCCAGCGTGAATTCCGACTGCGAGAACGTCGAGTTCAACGCCTCCTCGCGCCTGAAACGTTTACGTCTCTTTAGGGAAATACTACTTTAAATGTATGGTGGAGTAAGAGGACTCAATATCTCATATCGTTCCGGGGGTGTAAGATACGAAAAAGGGAAACTGAAATTGATTATTGGTTGCATACAATAATAAAACTGCAGTTGCTAAACCACCTGCCACGCGTGGCACCTGTGGCAAAATCTCCATTTATGACATAAGCCTTTGTATAGCAGTAAACTTGAAACGGATGATACGTTTGTCATAGATTATAGCCCGTGATTAAAAGCATTGCAAAAGACTTACACCAGAAATTTAAAATAAATTAAAACAAAACCAAACGCAACAAAATATTAAGTGTAAATTGTAAATTTTGAATTTCAATAAAAATATCATATATCAACTCAATACTCAAACTCTGGTAAAAGGAAAATTAAATTAAACTAGCGATCTGCCCCAGCTTCGCACTAATGATATCTGGGTTTTACAATAGCGCCACCTACCGGGTCCAACTTCGCAGAAGTGGAAACAGTATGTAAACAAAGTTTTATCGCAATCTGATGAACGGTATGGCAGCGCGTAAAATACGAACAACCAAATATAAATTTTCTTAAATTAGATTTAAAATTTCGTTCCGACATAATCCAAATATCTACATAAAAATTTATTAACGGTGTAGCAGCCAGATTAATCAAACCGAAACGGGAATAAATAATATATACTCCGCTGCTACCATAACGCGGAAGGCGAGAATAAATAAAAAAAACATTTTATTTCCTAATTATTCTTGGCTACTGAGATACTGCGGACTGTATATAGATAATTTGACGTTCTTATAAAGAAACAAGAAGCAGCCGCAAATATCATTCAGCGCCACACCGACTTCACACGCCGCTATCGTCACGTATCCGTCGACCAATGGTGAGCCGTTTCTTCAACGCCGCAGTTCGTTTCCTCTTGCTGTTCCGGAGCTGTATTCCACACCGCCGCCGCCCGCCGACTACGCGTGCGCACCGATCCGCATGTCTTATATAGCCCGGTCCAGCGACGTAGCTTCGTGAACAACAAACAAGTCTCACGCCGGGAAACGAAACGTAGATAATTGTATATTTTAAATAGTTTTCATTGGTCATAAAATAAGCAATATAATTGGCTAGGCAAAATATTAATTGTTACCATTGGCAAATCAATAGTGAGCCAGCCATATAAATATAGGCAAGGTTGATGCAAAAGATATTCCATTCCGAATCCCATTCGACAGTACATTCATAAACATAAACAGTATTTTCATTTCTCCACCTTAAAGAAAACCACTCGGAGTCTGTTAATAGTGGACAGTTCGTCTCCACTAATACAGTGGTGACCCCGTACGAACACCGAGGGGGAAGATCCGGTACGAACACCAAGAAGGAACACCCTGCGACGTACCACTACTATTGCACGAACACCGCGAAGGAAACCCGTACGAACACCGAGAAGGAAGACTTCAGTTTATATAAAATCAGTGTAATCAAGCCGTCATTATGGAGCAGGAGGCAAACACATATACATCAAACCCGGTAAAGGAACCAGAAATCGCCGGTATATCTCTATCGTTAAGAATACCACCGTTTTGGAGAGACAAACCACGACTTTGGTTCGTCAGTTTTGAAGCCGCAACGAATGGTTTAAAGAAGAGCCAAGCGCAATTAGCACAGATGGTGATAGCCCAACTTGAGAAACAAGACATCGAACAAATTGCGGACCTGTTGTACAACCCACCAGCAGTCGACCAGTATAATTCACTGAAGGATCGGCTGATCTCCGCATATGAAGAATCCGACAGTCGACAGCTACAAAAACTTCTATCAGAAATAGAACTTGGAGACCAGAAACCCACACAACTCCTACGCAAAATGCGTACTTTGGCGCGAGATAAAGTTCCGGATTCAACACTACGGCTAATGTGGGTAAACCACCTACCACCACATATTCGATCGGTAATAGCAGTCAGCGAAACATTCAGCACGCAGACGAAGCTCGACGAACTGGCACTCCTGGCGGACAAGATGATCGAAAACAGCAGTAGCTCACACATATCGATCATCGAAGGCACTTCAACAAAGGCCAATGATACCCAGTTTCTTCTCGAAGAAATTCGGAAGCTATCATTCGAAGTCGCCGCGCTCAAAGCTTCCCAGCATCATACCTTTTACCAGCAACAGTACAACCAGCGCAATCAGCAACACCGAAGATCACCTTTTCGTCGCAACCGCTCTGCAAGTAGAAGTCGAATAAGCTCAACATCAAGATCCCCTTACTGCTACTATCATCGACGTTTCGGGGTCGAGGCAAGAAAATGCACAGCACCGTGTACATTCAAAAATGAAAATACGAATACGGAAAACTAACTAGTACGCTCGATGCGACGGGATCCAGCGTAACAGCAAAGTCCTACCGTCTTTTCGTCACCGATAAAAAAAGCAAGCTCACTTTCCTTATCGACACCGGAGCAAATATCTCAGTGTTACCGCCGAAGCAAGGACAGAAGTTGAAGCCACTAGATTTTCAACTCTATGCAGCAAACAATACGGTTATTCCTACATATGGAGAAAAAACAATGGAACTTGATTTTAATCTACGCCGACCATTCAAATGGAGATTTATCGTCGCTAAAGTCAGCAAACCAATCATCGGTGCTGATTTTCTTCAACATCACCAGTTGGTCGTCGACATCAAAAATAGAAGAATCATCGACGGGAAAACCAATCTTGCATCTCAGTCTTTTGTACAAGCAACCAATCTGCCCACAATAAGAAGCATAGATGTGCAACAACCGTATCACAAGATCCTCGAAGAATACCCTGGTATCACAAGAATAACTTCAATGAAATTAACACCGAAGAACGACGTTGAGCATTTCATCGACACCAATGGACCACCACTTCATTGTCGTGCACGTCCAATCGCACCACACCTATACGAGCAAGTTCGAAAGGAATTCGAAAACATGATTGAGCAAGGAATATGCCGTCCAAGCAAAAGCCCTTGGTCATCACCACTTCACATTGTACCGAAGAAGAACGGAGAATTACGAGTTTGTGGAGATTACAGAAGACTGAATTCTATTACCACTCCTGACCGCTACCCAATACCGCGAGTCAGGGATTTCACTCATCAACTATCAGACAAGACTATATTCTCCACCATCGATCTCAACCGAGCTTACCAACAAATAAGAGTCCGCGATGAAGACATAGAGAAGACAGCAATAATTACCCCAATGGGATTATTCGAATTCCCAAGAATGATCCCAGGATTAAAGAACGGAGGTCAAACTTTCCAAAGATTCATACACGAAGTACTTCATGGACTGGATTTCGTTTTCGCATTTATTGATGATCTCCTTGTTGCAAGCCCTGATAAAGAAACGCACGAAACCCATCTACGCACCGTGCTACAGCGATTAGAAGACAACGGAATCACAATCAACCCTTCGAAATGCATATTTGGACAGCAAGAAGTTCAATTTCTTGGTTTCACCGTCAGCAAGGAAGGAATAAAACCGCCTGCCGAAAAAGTCAGAGCAATCATCGATTATGCAAAACCTAAAACTATCGAAGAGCTAAGGCGTTTTCTTGGGATGATAAATTTTTACAGAGAACACATACCTAAAGCCGCCGAAATCCAAGCACCACTTCACGCCTACCTTCACAACACGAAGAAAAAAGATAAAACGTCAATCGAATGGAACGATGAAGCCACGAAGGCATTTGAAGCTTGTAAAATTGCGATCCAAAATGCAGCTTTACTCGCTCACCCATCACACGAAGCAACCCTTGCTATCTTCAGCGACGCATCCGATCTCTCAGCAGGAGCAGTTCTCCAACAATACAGCAATGGGAAATGGCAACCACTTGGATATTTTTCGAAGAAGTTCTCCGATACTCAACGTAACTACAGTACATTCGACCGAGAGCTACTCGCTATTTACATGGCTATCAAGCACTTCAGAAAAACGTTCGAGGGTCGAAACCTGATCGTTTTTACCGACCACAAACCATTAACATATGTACTTCCAAAGAAACCATCACTATCGGAAACACCACGAAGAGCAAGACAACTTATTTTCATAAGTGAATTCACGACCGACATACGTCACATCAGTGGAAAGGACAACATAGTTGCCGACGCACTCAGTCGCGTACCAATCGACAGTGTAACGTGCCCTACATCAATCGACTATCATAAGATCGCCGCAGCACAAGACAGAGATAGTGACAACATAAAACATCTATCGAAGCAAGGTAACTTGTCCATCAAGCAAGTTACAATGCCAATGACGCATCTACCTATATACTGTGAAGCCTCAACGACAACCATGCGACCATACATACCAGAAGAATGTCGTCGCGAAGTCTTCAATGCACTGCACAACATTAGTCATCCAGGTGTTAGAACAACAAGAAAACTCATCACTGAAAAATTCTTTTGGCCTGCAATGCAAGCGGATGTTGGCAACTGGGCGAAGCAATGCATTCAATGCCAAAAATGCAAAGTACAAAGGCATACATCAAGTAGTCTAGCTACATTTCCACCCACGGAGAGATTCGAACACTTGCACGTTGACATCGTTGGACCATTACCTACTTCACCGCAAGGACATCGTTATCTCGTAACAATGATCGACAGAACAACAAGATGGCCAGAAGCAATACCTACCGATGATACTTCAGCCGAATCCGTCGCGAAGATAATTTATGATTGGAATTGGATTACTCGTTTCGGATCACCTAAAACCATCACAACGGATCAAGGAAGGAATTTCGAAAGCAACCTATTCCTCAAACTTCTTCAAACTATGGGAATACAAAAGACGCGTACAACAGCATACCATCCTCAGTCAAACGGAATAATCGAACGATGGCATCGTACATTAAAGACTGCACTCAAAACTCGTTTATCTCAACATACAAAGTGGATTGATGAGCTACCTACAGTGCTACTCGGACTACGAGCAACACCGCGTGCAGACACTAGTCTTAGCGCCGCTCAGCTAACCTACGGCTGCAGCATAAGGCTGCCGTGTGACTTCTTCAGTTCAGCAGCGTCAAACAAACAAGAAATGGATTACGATTTCGTAACTAAACTTCGAGAATCAATTAACAAAGCCTTATCGTTGAAATGCACCGAAATGCAATCACACAGAAATAATAAATCAGTATTCATTCACCAAGATTTGAAAACATGCAAACAAGTTTTTGTAAGAAACGACGCAATGAAAAAACAATTTCAACCTACCTACGATGGACCGTATAAAGTATTAGAGAGAAATAGCAAGACTTTTAAACTACAAATACCCGGAAGGAAATCTACGATTATATCGATCGACCGACTAAAGCCTGCCTATATTATTAACGAGGATACTGCAGAGGATTCATCATCATCATCAAAACCACCAGCGAGGAAGCTTGAAACTTCATCATCTACATCAACCCAGTTGAAACCTATTTTAAAAACTACGAAATACGGGCGAGTCGTCAAGCCTCCGGTACGCTTTCGCTGGGGGGAGAGTGATGTAGCAGCCAGATTAATCAAACCGAAACGGGAATAAATAATATATACTCCGCTGCTACCATAACGCGGAAGGCGAGAATAAATAAAAAAAAACATTTTATTTCCTAATTATTCTTGGCTACTGAGATACTGCGGACTGTATATAGATAATTTGACGTTCTTATAAAGAAACAAGAAGCAGCAGCAAATATCATTCAGCGCCACACCGACTTCACACGCCGCTATCGTCACGTATCCGTCGACCAATGGTGAGCCGTTTCTTCAACGCCGCAGTTCGTTTCCTCTTGCTGTTCCGGAGCTGTATTCCACACCGCCGCCGCCCGCCGACTACGCGTGCGCACCGATCCGCATGTCTTATATAGCCCGGTCCAGCGACGTAGCTTCGTGAACAACAAACAAGTCTCACGCCGGGAAACGAAACGTAGATAATTGTATATTTTAAATAGTTTTCATTGGTCATAAAATAAGCAATATAATTGGCTAGGCAAAATATTAATTGTTACCATTGGCAAATCAATAGTGAGCCAGCCATATAAATATAGGCAAGGTTGATGCAAAAGATATTCCATTCCGAATCCCATTCGACAGTACATTCATAAACATAAACAGTAGTTTCATTTCTCCACCTTAAAGAAAACCACTCGGAGTCTGTTAATAGTGGACAGTTCGTCTCCACTATTACAACGGTCTACCACTTGATTAACATAACTACAACATATTAACTTACCAAAATTCGCAATTTACAAGTTACAACCCAAAAAAAATTTGGCTTTTCCTTTATAATTAATTTTTATCTTTCCTTCCAATACATAACAAGAAAAATATACAACAATAAAACATATATAATTAATAACTTACTTTTGTATCCATTTCTCTGCTTCCTTCACCTCTTCGAAGAAGTTGTGGTACTGAGTAGTGTGCTTCAAATGTGTTTCTAGACATAAAGTCAGCTGAAGCACCCAAGCCCATTGAGATTGCATCACCTGAACAAACAAGTCTCCATAAATGTATGCTTTAATCATCATCATCATCCTGACAACAATACATAGTAATAAAAAACTGCGATTGTCAACCCGCCCGTCCAAGCGTGGCAACTGTAGCAAATATCACCTATATGATTGCCTCATATTTATTTAGCCCAAAAATTTTTGGTAGATTGCAATTAATGAACAAATACGAAAAAAAGGAAACAAACGGGCATTTCACCACATATTTTTTTTATAATTTTGGAGTAACTAGATAATGTGCCACAACTCTCAGGCTATAGATGTTCTCTCTGAAATGCATTAGTCTGTATTTTACTGACTCTCCTCGCCCTTCGGGGGTTTTGGCGGGAACTTGGCCGTCGACGGATTGTCGCTCCTGTTTTGTCGCTTGAATAATGTTTTGAAGTGGATTTTGATTCGTATAAGTGATGCGATTTCGCGAATTAAGTGTCTACGCGCGTGAACTATTAGACAAAACGACGAAACAAGTGCTTTGATGTTGATAAAACCTCAAGTTATTTTGATCGCTTGGACGCCTTAAGAACTTCAGCGGCTGTCGTCATCAACTGTGCGATGGGTTGAGCTGTCATTAAAATCTCCCAAAAACTTTGCAATGTGACGCATCAGCATATTGTAAAGAAAAATATATATAAAAAAGAAGATTTCTAAAGAAATGATAGGCTCAGAAGGGCTAGAACCCAGAGCCGTAAAGCCAGTTAAATAAAAAAATCCTCGTCCTTCAAACCGAAACACGAAAGAAGTTGTGCTGCTGTTTGTCAGCAAAATTAAGTAAGAAATTAGTACCGACCTAGAAGGACTGCTAAACAGAAGAGGAGACCTCTTACTTAGTATAGTGATCAGCGTATGATAATGAAAATAAAACGATTATCTTGTATGTTAAAAAATAAAATATGCCTATTTCTATTAACACATTATTTTTCTACTAACCTGAAGATGGGCTTCAATAGTTTTAGTAGCAGGGTGATGTTGCGCGATGAGAGCTTCTCCCCGGTCTATCACATTACTGAACTGTAACTCTCTCTTCTCCAATGAAGACATCAGTTGCTGCGTAAAAATCATCCTTATTAGAATACAGCAAAGATGAAAACATTTTAGTAATAAACCAAGCGGATTCAACAAAAACTGGCAACACAAAAAAAACCATAAAAAACCAAAATTCGGTGTAAAACAACGAGAAACAAACCTCTCTATCGTCCCCAAACGAATGCTTGCGTAGAAAAGAAAGTAAACGTTAAACTTATTAAGAAATAAACACAACAACAACATCGGTAGCAAGGTTACTACATTACATATGAACTATTTACATAATATGTTTGCTAGCGTGTTTGCGTGCGTGTTTGCAATCACATGTACTCCACGGGGATATACGCATATTAATTTACATTTTAAAGGGGACGTAGAATTGTAAATTTGAATTCAAACTATTTATTTTTACTGTAGATACATACACACACAAGTTTACAAAATATAGCTTACGCTTTCAAGTTACATAAATAACCTATGTGGACTACAAAATAACACAAAACGCGTATTTTACTCACTTCATAGTAATGTTGAACGGCCGGAAGATTGATGTGGGGATCGGCCCAATCGCGGGATAGTTCCACTTGTTCTTTTTCGTTAAGCCAATTCAATTCTGCAGTGGCCGACTGCAAGAAGTCTTGTAAGGCGTCCAAATCTGACATACTGTGACATAAACCACAAGATTATTATATGTTTGAAATGTTTAATAAAAGTATAAGTATTGTTTTAAAATAAAACTTTCTATCGTTTTAAAATAATAATGTCCGGCTCAGAGGACCAAGAGAAAAAGACGACTGATATTGAAATTTTATTGTTCGCACCCAAAATAAATATCTTTACCGTTTTGTACTTGTTGATAGCAGCTCCGCATACAATTTCTGTAGTTGACTTAAATGCTGGTTGTATAAGTTAAGTTCTTCGCCGCTAAAGTTTGATCTGTTGTGCACACATTGCTCCACCTAAGTGGAAAATGTAGGAAAAATTTAGAAATTTGACTTTATTTAGCAAGTTATACTTTCTGATTTTATATATATATATATATATATATATATATATATATATATATATATATATATATATATATACCATAAGCTAACTTTAGTATTATAATAGTATTAGTAACTTTAGGATTTTTAATTTACCTTATGAAATATTTATTATTGTAGTTACATTCTCACCTTAGAGTGGAATTGGTCGATTTGTTTGTGCTCCCTCTGATGTTTGTCCAACTCATGTTGTACGGTGGGCAGGTCTGATCCGTATTCTGATTCGTGAAGTTTTTTCTGTCAAAATTGAATTTCATTCATCAATATATACATCTCCTCATTATTTATATTATATTCGACTTCACCATCCTCTTAAATATACGATTGCACTTTTAAGCTTTTATAGAGAAGGACGTTGTAAGTTTATTTTCGAAGCTTCTCCGAGCAAACGACATTTATAACACCTATTGAATTCGGTCAATAGGTGTTATAAATGTCGACTTAAATATCAACAATAAGTTTAACTGATATAAATTCTGAAATGGGCGAGATTTAACATCCTCAAAGGAAGCAATGTCTAGGCTGACAAAGCGCAAAACAGGCTAACTTAGAAATGATTATTTTTAACCGAGGGCAACGTTAGTTGCGCTTGTTAGTTTAACGTAGGGCAGCCCTCAAATATATGAAGTGACGATCTGGTAAAAGATGCAGGAAGTCAACAGATGTAGGTGTCTCAAGGCTTTGCTTTGTGGCATTTATTGGAAACGCCTATATTCAATGGGGAATTTGTTAAATGCTGTGGTTTTTATATGATAATGATGTTAATAGGCTAATAACTACTATGATATCCAGACAAGCCTCGCTCAATAAATTGAAACACTAGTAAGCTACAGATTGAAAATTAAAGTAGTTAAGTACCTAACTACCTGTATCGAAAGTTCAAACACCTACCTTTTTCATTTAATAATGTCTTCAACAAACTTATGGGCACATTTTACAGTATTTCATCCCGGCTTCAGAAATGTGAAACTTTCCGGAGGTAAATGCTGCCCTGCAGGTGTTCGTGTAATGACTATTCCGTATAAACAAATTATAGTATATGTAAGCACTGAACTTAACTCCGTCGAATGACAGTGGCGTATCGTCTCGTAAGTGTCGTAAGAAGCGAAGCTATTAGCTTTATTCTCAGGAGTCCCCGCTCTTCATAATGTATAACCGTATTAAATAGAAAAGCGTTTAGTGTAAACACATAGACGTGGTCTGCTGCACAGGCAGCCGCAGCAGTGCGGCTGTTAGTGTGAGCAGGTGTAGCTGCAAGTGCGGCACTCACCAGCCTGTCGCGGCACCAGGTGGCGGCGGCGTGCAGCGCGTGGAAGCTGGGGTCAGCATCCAGCACGCGCGTCTCCAGCACGGTGCGCGTCTCGCGGCGCACCGTGGTCTGCTGTACGGGCAGCCGCACCGAGCCCAGCCGCGCCACCAGCCGCCCGGTGAACGCCTGCCGCGCCGCGACCCAACGCTCGTGCACCTGCTGCACCCTGTGCCACGAGCAGTGCAAGCCATTAGCACATGCGTCACGCTGCAGGCTCGGAATCCACTCGCATACGATAACAGTTTCAAATAGCATCATAATGCTCTTGTGTTTGGTATACTCAGTGAGGAAACCCGACCCTTACTAAAGACGCGGGTTTTCTTCCGAGACCAATATTCAGAGACTACCTCGAGATTAGAACTCAAACTTCATAATTCTAACATTTGAGTATAATAATAGTGGTCTAAACGCAATTATTTTTATGGAAAGAAGAGGAATTTGAGAATAATCCTCGAGATTGTCTCCGAAAACTGGTTTTAGTAAACTTTCGGGTGTACACAACGTTTTTATTACAAAGTAATTTAATTAAATATTGAAAATAAAAATATATGAAAATTTAAATCTGCCTATTATCGTTGCGTGTGTTAGATAAAATTATTTTTTATTTCTTTTCAGTCACATTTATTACAAAGCTATCGATTTTAGTTTAAGCATTGGGATTGAGAACCAGTCACGAATTTTGTTATAGTTAGTTTTTCATTCAAATATAAGATCCACTACGACACATTTGAAACCGTTCCGGTTCTGGTTCCGGTAATAGTATGGGTATTAAAATAACAGTATATAACACCAACGTTTTTCAGTTTATAAGCTGGGTAATTTTCGTGACTTTATAGTTTGGCTATATTTTTATATTCTTATTTCGATTTTTTCCGAAAATATCATTTTGTCACACTATAAAACCAAAAAATATTAGAAATTGTTTCGCTCGTGTACAGATAAAATAAAAGTAAACGATTTTCAATCAGGCTTTATTTTCAGTTACAGCCCTACTATAATAACGATTAAATACTGTTTTCTTTTCAAAAACTCGTACTCATAATTGTTAAAATAAATCGTTTAATATGAGAAAGACCAGTCATCTATCAAAACATCTGGCTTAAACCGTGATATACGTTACCGTAGGCAAAATCAGCAAAAATATAATCAACATTAACAAGCGTTATCAAACTGTCTAAAATTTCAATGAAGGCCCCACTCACCGTCGATGCAATTCCGTAGCCTGTGGATAACGTCCTTCCCTGAGTGCTTGGCAGTCCTGGAACATATCCTGTATGGTGTGCTCCATGGTCCGCAACTCCTGTTCGATTTGTTCGGCGGCCTGCTTCGCTTCCGCTGGATGAACGCCGCGTTCAACGCGACGTATCTCGCTCTCGATGTGACGTTCTACGTTGTCTAAGCCGGTTTCGGTTTGTTTTATATCCCTGATGGAGGAATATACGAGATGATTAACTAATTTTAAATAACTTAATTTAAAGATCACCTGATTAATGTTAAGAAACCTGAATAACCATCTATGTACACGAAATGAAATTTACCCGCTGATTATATAGATCTTTTTACAAAACTGTAGCGCTTTTGTAAAAATCTATGAATATTTTAACCGACTATCAAATATATGTAAAGGAGGTTAGGTGTTTCTATATTTGTCCTCAACTCATAACTAGTCGTAGCAGGCGCGGAAATTCGTACGAGTGAGATGGAATTACATCCTGTCAAAAACACAGATTACACTGGCAAACTATAAATAATAATCTCGTCCAGGATGAATTGCAGTCACAGCGGCTGGTCCCAACGGAGACTGAACGGACTTCGTGCTGATACTGAGAACTACTTGACAAAAAACAATAAGTTATAAATTTAGCCCGAACCGGGACTCGAACCCAGGATCACATAATCAGTAGTCGCGTTTATCAGTACTAGACCATCGAAGCAGTCAATTAAGCCTTCAATTTCGTCTACTCCATTTCGTCCCCTGGATATTGTAAGAGACAACTATGGCAAATGTCAACAAAATCTCAAGGCTTCACATAAGATCCGCTTCGTTCGGCTTTCGGTATAATAACTATCTCGTTCACACAAATCCTAAATCTCCTAGACACTGCGATCGTCAATCCGCCTAACAAGTGTGACGATTAAAGCAATTCTTCTAGGACATGAGAAGCCCGTTTCTGAATTTATGGCTATGGTACGGAAGTTATAAAAACACACGGACAGAGTAAAATGGTAAAATAAATTGCCGCATATAGCGCTGCAGAGCTTTCTGTAGCCGCACCCACCTGTGCAGCTTCTCGGCCAAGCGCTGCAGGCGCTCGAGGCGGCGGATCTCGTCCGAGAGGTCGCGCTCACGCTCCTGCTGCGCCATCAGCAGGCGTGCCCATGCCTGCTCTAGCGCTTCAGGCCGCAGGGTAGGCTCCACTTCGCATTCGCCAACAGATTCGAAGTATTTCTGTAGAAAACAAATTGTTTCGAACCCTATTAATGGTTTTCTTTGTTTGTAATTTACCATTTAGAAGTTGCCATAATGGATTTTTGGATTTTTGGAGGTCCAAGTTTCAATTTTTTTTATAATTCAGAAGTAGTCTGTGACCCATATCTCTTTCTCATACTATACACTTTTATCGATTCGATTAAGAATCAAAATGCAGATGCGTTGTCAACCCTGAGGACTAGCATGGAAAGCTTTGTTACAAGTAAAAATGGTTTCCGGGTCTCTGCACACACCATACAAAACAGACCAGCGTAAAGCTGCTGTCCTTCCAAGGTTTAGACTATACTTTCCTGCTACAGCCATATATCTCATAACGTGATTCTAACATGTATATATATTTCCACGTTTTGTGGTGCTTTAAGTCCGATTCTGCCTTTTTTAAAGGGATATAATAAATGTGTATATATGTAGTTTTATGAGTTTATACATTAGCAACATTTTTAATCTGAAGCAAATGGTAACATCGACTTATCTTTTCTTGCTTTCTTCTATGATTTTTTTTTAATAATACCACAATTTAAAGGCAGTCGGAAAGAACTTCGAATCATAAAAAGTAAAGTTAACAATAAAACTGAACAAATAGTAGTGTATTTTTTTAAAAAAAACGTTACCTCCAATCTAGGATTTTCTCCTGCATCGTGGGGGCAGTTTACAAACATAAATTTTACAGGGACAAACATTCAGATCCGGAACAATTATTTATAGGCCATACAAATACTTGTCCCGTGCGGGATTCGAACCCGCGGCCCCCAGCGCAGCCACTCATTGCTAAACCACTGCGCCACAGAGCCGTCAAATCAAAATACGAATGGGTAATTAAAAAAATCTCAATGATCTTATAAGTAGTACGGGCCGAATTACTAATATTATGTAAGTGAGACTTTTTTTATATTCGTCCCCTTTAGTTCACCTTTTCATATTATTTTTTAAAATTACTGCACCCATGAAGACTTACCATTTAAAGCAAGAATGTTACGGAAATGGACAGAAAGGAAATCAATATAAAGTACAACAACAGTAGAGTAAGAGATAGTAGATAGAAATACCTCCAGTTCGCGGTACTGGTGGAAGAGCTTTTGCTTCTCCCGCTGACGCAGCGGCACCTCCTCGTTGCGGAAGCGCGTGCTCTCGCTGAGCAGCTTCTTCATCTCGATCAAAGTTGACGGGAAAGCACGGTCCTGCGAAAGTTATCATAGAAACGGTATGTATTTAACTTTTTTTATATAGATTGACAATGGAATGAAACAATAATCGTGTGATCTTAACATCAGCCTAATGTGTAAACTTAATTTAGAAGGGGTTAGACGTTTTTAAATAACTTATTTTCAACCGCTTAAAATTCACCTTTGCTTTTATACAACCTAGTCAGTTTGTAGAAAAAGCCCTTAATTGTTGACATTTGTTTAATTTTTATAAATTGTAAATCAAGGGGGGAGGCTACTTAACCTCAGCAAAAAGAGATTTAATAAGACTTATCCCTTTCCCTTCTTTAACTTCTATAATTTATGAATTATATAACTTTTAAATTATTATTGCTAATTTTAATACAGATTGAACAACGTTGAGCCTCACTGTATATCCGCATATCACACTGTACGTGCTCACCTGCATGAGAGAGCATTTCTCGTGCAGCCAGGCGCGATGTTGCGCGGCCTGCTCGGTGTAAGCGGCGGCGCGTCGCTGCGACTCCGCGTCGAAGAGCGGGTGCACCGCTGGTGGTTCGGGGAACGTCTCATACAGAGACGAGATGTACGTTATGAGGGATTTCTCGTCCGGCTCGTGGGTGTCTACGTCTGAAACAATCGGTGTACATTAATATGTTGGTTTAGACAATAATGTTTCACTCATTGGGGCAATGTTTCAAATTTTATTAATGAGTTCATTTTGTCCTGGAAAGTATATGAACTCTTCGGCGTATAGAGGCGGCGGTAGTAGCAATAAAGTGATTTGGACAGTAGGATCTTCCGGATAAAAACTGAAAAATAGTCAAGAGCCTATGTTACTTATTCGGTACAAACAAACAAACAAACAAATAATTTTTTCTCTTTATATTATAAGTAAGTATAGAGTATAGATAAGGTCCGAAACTACTGGACCAATTTTAACCATTTTTTCACCAATAGAAAGCTAAATTTATTTCCAAAAAATTAGAGATCCTTAAGAAAATGGCAACAATGTAACCCAAAGTAGCAAAATGTTGCCTATAAAATTAATTATTTGACGTGCGCTGGAACTATTGATGGCGCATAAAAATAACGTACTACAAGATTGTAGTACTCATTAATGATTTTAATTCATTTGAATAGGACATTTAATTTCGAAGTTAACACGAGTATAAACACGCAATATTATGGCGAATCGTTTGACGCCGCGCCGCACCCCCGCGAGCCCGCGACGTTCCTCTGAATATTTTTACGGCATTTTCACCGACAGATAGCTGATGTTATAAGGAATAAATTAAGCTACTTTTATTTTAGAAAAAATAATTAGAATTCGTCAAAAATAAAATAAAGCGCATGAAAACGAATAGTCATAAATTAGTACACGCGGGAGAAGTCGCAGGGAACAGATAGTATTTTATAAATTTAATGAACAGGGAATTCTAACTGTGACGGTGACTAACAGTAAAGTGTTTTTTTATTAGTATGTATTAGTTATTATTATAAACACGTTTCGATTTCTAAATTTACATGACTTCGGACGTTAGTTTGACAAATTCAATGTTTACAATAATTTTAAAAAAATTAACGAAGATATGTCTGGCACAACAAATTGCATTACAAGGTAGTGTACAAAAGGTTTTTGTACCCTAATTGCACATCAAATTGCATTCCCTGTAGTTCTCTTCCATTGTCGCTTATCGACGTCCACATCGCGAATCGTTCCTTTCCGAGGCAAAAGTGATTATTCACGCCAGCTTTGTACTTGCGCTGTACTTGACGTGCGGGTCGTGGTGTTCATTTTTACATATAAGTGCACAGACTAAGTACAGTACTGTACTCGTTGATCTACAACGTGGTTGCATACATAAGAGTAAAATGGTAATATTACCTACAGTATGTGACACGCATTTGTTTTTTTTTTAAATACAGTTGAACATTGATTGTCTTATAGTCGGATATTTGCCATAGTTGCCAAACTTGGCAAGCGGGTTGACAAACCATATTTTTTATTTTTAGTCGTTACCAAAAAGAAGCTACTGTCAATCTCCTAATTTATTTCCCTCTGTCGCCTATTAAGATACCCACGGGATGATATGGGGTGGTGGATAAGTCTTACTCTACCACTACAAGGTATACTATAAATTTAATACAATTAAATCGCATTTTTTTATAGATTAAGGGTAACAAACGAGCACAAAGTCCACCTGATGGTAAGTGGTAGCCGTGGCCTATATCTACATATTATATCCTCGATTACGAATCAAAATGCAGATGCGTTGTCACCCATGATGACTAAGATGGAATGCCTCGTTTCCAGTAAATTGAGTCTCGGGTTCTTTACACTCATCATACGAAACACAGCAGCCTTGAACTGCTATTTTAACCACCATATGAAACACTGTAGCATTTTACGCTAGTATTCTGTGAGAGCGTGGTCCTTCCCCGGTCAAGCCGACCCATTCGTACTGCAAGCAAAATATATCTGCAGCGTGACTCTACCACGTAAAATACCAGTTTGGATTTTATTTTATTAATTAAAATAACCCAAGAAAATATATCTGCAGCGTGACTCTACCACGTAAAATACCAGTTTGGATTTTATTTTATTAATTAAAATAACCCAAGAAAATATATCTGCAGCGTGACTCTACCACGTAAAATACCAGTTTGGATTTTATTTTATTAATTAAAATAACCCAAGAAAATATATCTGCAGCGTGACTCTACCACGTAAAATACCAGTTTGGATTTTATTTTATTAATTAAAATAACCCAAGAAAATATATCTGCAGCGTGACTCTACCACGTAAAATACCAGTTTGGATTTTATTTTATTAATTAAAATAACCCAAGAAAATATATCTGCAGCGTGACTCTACCACGTAAAATACCAGTTTGGATTTTATTTTATTAATTAAAATAACCCAAGAAAATATATCTGCAGCGTGACTCTACCACGTAAAATACCAGTTTGGATTTTATTTTATTAATTAAAATAACCCAAGAAAATATATCTGCAGCGTGACTCTACCACGTAAAATACCAGTTTGGATTTTATTTTATTAATTAAAATAACCCAAGAAAATATATCTGCAGCGTGACTCTACCACGTAAAATACCAGTTTGGATTTATTTTATTAATTAAAATAACCCAAGAAAAATATATCTGCAGCGTGACTCTACCACGTAAAATACCAGTTTGGATTTTATTTTATTAATTAAAATAACCCAAGAAAATATATCTGCAGCGTGACTCTACCACGTAAAATACCAGTTTGGATTTTATTTTATTAATTAAAATAACCCAAGAAAATATATCTGCAGCGTGACTCTACCACGTAAAATACCAGTTTGGATTTTATTTTATTAATTAAAATAACCCAAGAAAATATATCTGCAGCGTGACTCTACCACGTAAAATACCAGTTTGGATTTTATTTTATTAATTAAAATAACCCAAGAAAATATATCTGCAGCGTGACTCTACCACGTAAAATACCAGTTTGGATTTTATTTTATTAATTAAAATAACCCAAGAAAATATATCTGCAGCGTGACTCTACCACGTAAAATACCAGTTTGGATTTTTATTTTATTAATTAAAATAACCCCAAGAAAATATATCTGCAGCGTGACTCTACCACGTAAAATACCAGTTTGGATTTTATTTTATTAATTAAAATAACCCAAGAAAATATATCTGCAGCGTGACTCTACCACGTAAAATACCAGTTTGGATTTTATTTTATTAATTAAAAAAACCCAAGAAAATTATCTGCAGCGTGACTCTACCACAAAATACCATTTGGTTTTATTTTATTAATTAAAATAACCCAAGAAAATATATCTGCAGCGTGACTCTACCACGTAAAATACCAGTTTGGATTTTATTTTATTAATTAAAATAACCCAAGAAAATATATCTGCAGCGTGACTCTACCACGTAAAATACCAGTTTGGATTTTATTTTATTAATTAAAAGAACCCAAGAAAATATATCTGCAGCGTGACTCTACCACGTAAAATACCAGTTTGGATTTTATTTTATTAATTAAAATAACCCAAGAAAATAAGGTAAAAGAGGGACACGAAACAGGAGATTGGCGTCAACGTCTTCCTTATAACAACTCAAAAATGAAAATAAAACGAACCCGCTTACTAAGCGTAGTAAGTTATTACTTAATTAGCTAACCTAACAACATTTCATAGTGAAAATTTAAAAATCTTTTAAATTTTAAATATATAAATTGACTTGGCAATCGCACTAAGCAATCTAATTTAATATAATATGTATTACTTGTGAGATACATTGCGTTTTCATACGATGGCCAAATCAATCTATTTATTTGAAACATAAAAGATTTTTAACATTGATATGGTCACTATAAAATATTGTTAGGTTAGTTAATTACGTAATAACTTAAAACAGAAGGACCCTTAAGCAGGGACTAAATAAATTAACCGTCTTGGTATTACATGGATCTCACAATTTTTAACGGTAGAAAAACTGAGTTGCGAGACTTGGTTTTTTTGCAAGTTATGTTTTATTGACATAATATGTATATATAAAAAAGTAACACAAAAATAAGGTAAAGGTATTTAATCGAGGGGTTTTTGAATTGCCATTATATTCCGAGGTATTTATAAAAACATTATGGCAAATATTTCCTATGAGGCAATCAATACATGTTTAGCAGTAGATTCTTCATAGGTTATCATGAATGCATGAAAGAAAGTAAGTATATGGCATCACGCAGACAACTTCCTAATTTCAAAAGAGAAAATGGTTTGTCGTGCAGATAACTGCATGCTTATGTAATAATTAAGTAAGGCATTCAACCTCAACGAAATAATTTTATAACTACCTAATAGCATATAGGCAGAGAAAAATGAAAAATGTATGTATCATCCATTGCATATGCTAGAACAATACGTCGTAAAGCGGCACCGACGCAAGCCTGTCTGTCTGTGTTGACTTGTATTGAGCAGTCCAAAACAAAAGTCAATTGGCACAGGTGTTTGGCGACGTCTGCGAAATGTGACAATGTACCAATAGTGAGTACTGGGAGTACCTGGGTGATTTTTTTACCGTCTGGAAAAAAATAAGGTGTAACAGGTGAACGGATTAGAAGCCTATGGCACTAACATTGTACATTTTATTTTATTTTACATTATCATATTATGAAATTGATAAGGTAATGCTACTATTCCGAAAATATATAACATTTTAAGTCAAATATGACTGTTTATGCCGGTTATACATTTATAATAAAAGTTATCCGAACAGTTATGATATATGAACAAATCGATTAAGATATCATTTTCTTAAAAACCTATGACTAGTTTACGAGTTGTAGACGGATATACAAATTATTATACAAGCCTACATACCACCAAATACACAGAGTTTAAGGTACAGGGTAGCTTTTGAGTTCCACCGCAATAAAAATATAGGGTAAAAAGAAACGTAATGTTTGTAAACATAATGTTTTCCTCGTAACACATGATGCTATAAAACATAAAGATATCTATCTATCTTAGCTTCTATAAATATTCTGTCGGCTTGAAGCAAATTTCACTTACAATCGCATACATCTAAAAAATCGATACGCTCAATAAAACTCGATAATTCGCTGCGCATCGAATCGGCTTAAACAAAGACTTGGTATCTCGTTATAATTGATGTGTGACGAATAACAGGTGGGATGTCTGAAGCGAAGATTATCGGCCTGCGAAAATGATAGACTATAGATGTTTTATTTTTTATTGTTACTGGCTTATGAATTTATTGATATCATTTTAGTACATCACATTTATAAAATCAGTGTTTGAAGGGCTTTTAAAGCTTTATCATATGAAGAAAAACAATAAATTTATTAATTTAAAAAATCTAAACGAACATAATATTTGATAAAATGTAACTAAAACGTGAATTTAAAGAATGTGAACCTCGTTTCTCGCCTATATTAAGTCGCAAACATGGCGCAAGCTAACCGTTGCTCAACGTAGGACATAGCGAGCCCTGGCCGTATAAAGAGCATGACGAGATATGTGTAGCTTATCAGAAATCTATGCAAATACAACAAACATTTTTAAACATCATTAATTGAACTGTTGCAAGTCAGATTTAAAGTCATAGGTCCATTCAATATTTATCTACTAAAGAAAAAAGACTCACATACCAATTCAACCTCCCATTATTACACTCAATCCCCACAGACCGTTCATCAGATACTCCACCTCCATAAAGAAATCCTCCTCCCATTCTCATCAGTCATTACACTTTTTCTTCTTAATGTCTATCATCTACTATTAGTTACTATGTTCTTTTGCGGATATCTTTCTTATAGATTTTATCCCGCAGGGAAATTCCGGTTTAAAAAAATACGTATTTTCTTCTACGTATTTTACTCCGTTTCTTACATTATACATGAAAGAAGGCAACTTCCTTATTTTATGTAATAACGGAGTAAGCATCACAGAAATAGTCAAGAAATCATGGAGCATACGACAGAAAAAAAAATACGAAGCGACGATAATCGAATCTTATAAATCATGCGGCCAAGATGTGCCAATTTTAGAACAAAATTGAAACCTTATAAAGGCCCCTAATTAAATAAGTCGCAAAAGGTTTTTTGAATATATTAAAATGATTTCAATAAACTACATTACTAATGACATGTTATTGAGCAGTGACATAAGATGTGTCAAATTTAATTATTTTGTTTTTGTATTTAATTAAAGGCTACATTTATTATCGCGTGCCATGGACTCACAGTCATTGTTATAAATTGTTAGAACATAATATTACAGTTACACAAACTTACCTTCGGGGTCTAATAATCTGGTAACGCCGTACTCCTTCTCCACCACGTGGAAAGCTGTCTCCAAGCGCTCGCGAACCTGCCTTGATCTGTAACAACGTAACACTATTATTAAACGACAATGGAAAAGAAATTAGAACAAGGAACATAGTTCACTTGTCCTCGAAATTTTTTATAATCTAAACCCCAGAACGTTTTGGAGCAGAGAACGGAACATACGAGTATAATATATGCTGTTACTTTAGGTGAAGCTGAAGATGCATAGGGCCCTGCAATGATACCGTAGCTGACGGTTATGACTTATGACAGTATGGTTGCCATTACTGGGCACTCTGTACGTCAATGATAGCAGGTAAACAGTCTCGCATGACCTATGATGTTTCAGTTATCTATCGAAAAATTATATTACAATAGTACTATGTACATTTTGAGCTTTAGACAAGGTTGTTCAGTGTCGCCCGCTTTATATTTATCGCATTTAAACAACTCGAGTGTATTTAAATTTTACGCCACTATCACTGACATTGTTACTCGTTATTAAATGAAGGAATACGAAGCGTCTTGATCCGATTTCAAAAAGGAGTTGTTCACTATTCGACTGTAGGAATTTCTTTTTGTTACGCGATATCTCAACCAACTATGAACTGATTTTAATATATTTTTTAACCAAATAGGCTTTTTCCAAGTGATCAGTATTTAAAAGTTAATATAGCTAATATAATAACGAGTCGCCTTTACACTGGTTGACAAATTCTTAGATATCCTTTATAGACTGATACAAAGCTTGTTTTTAATATAGCGTCATCTCATCTAGTCGACTTAAGCTATTTGCTGACTCGAAGCTACCAATTAAGAACTTTCTTCACATTTATACGTTAGCTATCCTAATTCGGAGCCGTGGTAGCTCAGATGGTTAGCGCTCGCTATAAATTTCAGCATACGCGAGCAAACCGGGTTCGATCCCCACCGGCACCAATTAAATTGAATAAGAACACTCAAAATTGCACATCTGAAAAATCAGTAAAAAAATATTTCAAAGACATGTGAAGTTAGCCAACATTTTTGGGGCTACGCGGCGGTCAATTCCTTGCACTAAAACCCTCACAGAAACGAGCGGAGGCTTGTGCCCTAGAGCTGGACGTATATAGGCTGTAACTTTAACTTTTTTACCCTAATTCAACTACAACTTCAAGCAAAGACATTATATCCTCACCTGATATTACGCCAGTCTATCAGATCAGGGCGGTTCCTGTGTATGAGCGCGTTGAAGGCCAGTCCATCGCGCCAGGAAGACGTGAAGTCGGAGACCCTCACGCCGGGGTATTTTGCGGTGGAGCGACGCGCCCAGCTCAGGAGCGCCTCTCGCGCGGTAACGTTCGCTTCTTGGCCCACTACGATATCCGAAATCTGAAAAAAAAATGAATAAATAGTGAATATTAGCATATTTGTGCAAACAACTGCAGTACACTAAATCTATCATATAATATCTATCATATCGGTACCATATTATCAGTCCCATGTTGGTATGCGACATATAGATCTTATATTGATGTGGGACGTATTACGAAAAATAATGTATGAGTACCAACCATGTTACTTATCAAGTGATTTGTAAAATAGAATGGGGCAAGGCCATCACCTACCTGTATGTTGGCGATGGTCTTGCCATCTATAATTTCTTTCAATCATCAATTTTCATCTAAAAGAGAAGTGTGAATAGCTCGATGCTCTTTTTACTTTTTGCCAAACATACCATCATAATTTAAAATATGTATTGACAAAATGAGGTTTTTCTTCTAAATTGTAGATTGTTAAGTTTTAACTTTAGGTATCTTAATGGACGTTACAAAACCTTAACTAGGTAAGTGATAAAGTAAAGCAAGAGATAAAATGACAAATGAGTTAACTAGCCCTCTTTATGGATAAGTGTTACGTGTGTGACACTTATCTAAAAATACAATTTCATAACATAGAATACATTATTCCATCACAGAGTTTTTTTTTTAATAGAATAGAATAACGGTGACAAACGAGCACACAATCCACCTGATGGTAAGTGGATGCTGTGGCCCATACACATCTACATTTATCCTCGATTAAGAATCAAAACGTAGATGCGTTGTCACCCCTGAGGACTAAGATGGAATGTCTCGTTTCCAGTAAAAAAATGGTCTCCGGATCTCTACACTCACCGTACGAAACACAGCAGTATTAAACTGCTATTTTACGCTGGTATTCTGTGAGAGCGTAGTCCTTCCCCGGTCGAGCCGACCTATTCGAGCTACAATCATAATAAAGCTGCAGCGTGGTTCTTACCATATGTGTAGGCAGTATATACAATTAGGCAACACTACATGTTAATACAGCGGGTGTTATTTATTAGCAGAGTTAGCGATATAGCGATTTCTCTATTTCGCGGCGATGACGCCATCGGGAAAGCGTTACGTACTAATTATTCACCTTACTAGGATCTATCAATAATGAGTGATACAAGAGTAATTTTCTTAATCGCGATGAAGATAACATTGGCTTAAGCAAATTTAAGTAAAATTATATACATTTTACATCATTTAAATTCCCAACGACGTTTGAACACGAACACTTAGACATTCCATTTTTATTATTATTAACGGATACACCCCGACTTTTCTCGGGTAATTTCTTTTTTTTATAAGAGGAGGGTGATAAACGAGCACACAGTCCATCTGATGGTAAGTGATTACTGCGGCCCATAGACATCTACATCTATCCTCGATTACGAATCAAAATGCAGATGCGTTGTCACCCGTGAAGATTAAGATGGAATGCCTCGTTTCCAGTGAAAGGGTATCCGGAACTCTACACTCACCATACAAAACACAGCAGCGTTAACTGCTATTTTACGCTGGTATTCTGTGAGAGCGTGGTCCTTCCCCGGTCGAGCCTGCTCATTCGTGCTTCGGCTCTACCCCGTATAAATTTCTGAATCTTTACAAGAAAGCCAAATACCGGGTCTAAATGTTTCATCTAAACCATTCTCAAATCAACTTAATCACACACACAAAATTTCAGCCGTTCAGCCGTTGAGAAGTTCAGTCACATACACACGGACAGAAGAATTATATAAATAGTTCTCATTTCTCTCATCGATAAAAAATTTATTAATTAAAATATAATAAATAATTAAGTACTATAAAATTAGTTACATAATTATGCCACGATCCTAAGTCGCATCACTGTCTCAATACCGACATGGTAAAGACAGGCGTAGTAATCATAAAAAAATCAATTGAAGCTTGACGGCTCCAAATTATAATTATTATAATAGAGAGATTTTTTCAAATCATCTTCAATAACTATAAGACTTAAACCAGTAGTTATAGTCATAATTCATTTGAGATAAGTTCATGAAACTAATTTTTCTTTCTATTTTTTTTAATTATAACGTTACTTCCACACTATGATTTTCTCCTGTATCGTATCATTCACTCAATTATTTTATCAATGAAATAATTTCAGTCTAAACTGGATACCACTAGGTTTTATATTTAACACCAATAATTTTTTGTCAATGTTACATGCTGCGCCGTAAATTCACCCAAAATTTCAAACAATCCTTTTTAACTCCCAACGGCACGACTGAAATCGGCAATCGCATTTTCTATCTAAGGTGCTGAAAATCACCATGTGCTTGGCACTGAGTGAATACATCGCGAAGAAACAATCATCAAGTGGACTGTAGTTTCGTTGTAACTTTAGATTTATAAAATAAATGGAAAGCTGTAACGCTAACTGATGATAACAAGCGTAAAAATAATTTTAATTCAAGGCGTAGTATAATCACATAAAATTTTGATTTATAAGTGATATTGAAAGCAGTGCAAAGTTGACCTATTTATTTAGATATCGCAAAGTGAGTCTAGGCGCTAGCAGGTCATCAGCCCAACAGGCTGGCGAACATCCAGCTCCAATAATAAATAAGCAACTATGAGGAAGTGCAAAATGCTTCGAGCACCTATGACGTGTATGTAGATATAAATATCTTTGATATTCAGAAGGAAACTATGAGGGTTCCCTCATAGTTTCCTTCCGAATATGGGGAAACACAGGCGTGGTAAATACCGATTTAAACAGTGAATTTATTTCAATTAGGAAAACAAAGTTAATAAAAACAATATGACCTGTAAATTTTAAATTAAAATTTATCGTTGGATTTAATTTTTATTTGCTTTCGAGGTTGTATAAAAACAAATATAACTGGAGACACCTGAGCCAATTAAGTTAAAAATTTACCTAAGCGGTTACAAGATTTAGATAATACTAGTTTTTACGGATTTTATCGCGTATATTTAACTATAAATCTAAAAATCTAACGTCTATTTAGACGTTGAACATCTCAGTCTTCCCCGTGACCATGGGTGCTGTAAAGTGCTCGAAACGTCGGGTATTTTAATAGTTAAATATACGCGATAAAATCCGTAAAAACTAGTATTATTTAAATGTGTAGGGTTCGCGTAAATATAAGAAATCATTATGGTTACAAGATTGTTTCATATGAAATATCTTTACTAACATGAAACTACTGAATGATTTTATACACTAAGCATAAGTTTAAGAGTTGTACAGTACAATATTAAAAGAATACGGAAAGGAGACAAACTTCAAAGAATTACACCTCTCATAAAACTTTGTTCAGTAGGTACAAGCCGTCCTGAATAAATAATAAATCACATAGACTGCTTCTAATTAAAATGACAGTTGTCAACAAGCACCCTCTGAATTAATATGAATGACAAAGATCATTTGGCCTCCAATAAATACTGGGAATTTTCAGTAACTTGTAAAATAGGACCGTATATTTTTATTTTGAATCTTGTGATGTTCCTTTTTGAAAGATTGAACAAAACACTGAACAGGAAGGATAGGGCTTTTGAAATATGTTATCTGTATTCATGCAGTATGCTGGTATTATAATACGAATAACAATAAACACTTGCGTGTCATCAATGATCGAATTAAAATATTTCGTGCATACAAATTTTAGATTAGGAATAGTTAATAATTACACTGGAAGAATCTGTAATTCTCTTCAAGTGTAAATCTTAACCATCAAGGGACCGATTTAAAAACACCAAAAGTTTCATTAAAAATGATCGAGCCATTTTCGAGTTTGCGAGACTGCATGGCACTTAATTTTTATATATTAATATAGAAGATTTGCTGTGATTTTTTTAAATATATGGATGATATTAAATAATATTTCAAATTAAATTTGAAACATACATACATTTAAATAATGAATCGCTTAATTTGGAAAGTATAATATACGCAACGTTCAAGATCTCAGTAGAGTAACTACATCAAGGAAAGACATTTATTAACTGGTGATACGAAACTGCATTTCGATGACAATTTTACTATTGCTTTGGATATGTACAATATTAAAACTACTTTTCTAAAAAAATGTTATAGTTCAGTCTATTTACACAGTACTGATGATGTACACAAATTACATTAAATCCACATGTGACATAAAATCCAAATTGTGAAAAAGGGTCAATACTTACTTACTTCTCACTACTACAAAAACGAAAAAGGAAAGTCAATATCAATATTTGAATGTAATAAACTTTAACAAACATCTATTGTCGGTTTTTGTTCGATGATTAAAGAGAAAAACATTCTCTCGTTCAATAAATACGTGATGCAGTTCGTCAATACGTTTCTTTATTGTAATCTACTTTGGTGTTATGAGATGACTAGAATGTCATAAATCAAGTCTGCAGTTTAAATATAAATCGTTGTTATATTTCAAGAGTAATTTAAATGATTCAGTTTCACTTTAATTTTATTTCTAATGCACATGCATTACAATATTCGTCCGTCCATTTCAGTCTATAATAACTTTTTACTGCTGAGCATAGGCCTTTCCCAAAGATTGCCTCATTATGGATTTTGCCTTAGTTGCCACGCTTAGTAGGCGTGTTGGCAACTGTAGTTTTTTTTAAATTTAGGTTAAATTACTAGAATAACGCTGCTGACCTTCTCCAGGTAGGGATGGGCAAATGAAAAAATATGTCGATATATATATCGTATCTATATTTTAAAGAGTATCGATACATATCGCGTGATAAATATCGATATATTATGATTTGCATGTTGTAGCAGGGTAAGATTGGACGACGAAAAAAAGCGACAACAGCACATGAATTCTTTTATAGCTACTTTTGTTGCTTAATGTTTTGACGATTAATAAAACATTTTAAAATATATCGAAATTGATACGAATTAGATACTCTAAAATAAATATCGAATGTCGATATATCGCGTTTTCAAAATATAGAAGATATATATTGATATTTTATGAGAAAATATCGATATTTTAATATATCGAAATTTTTTAACCAAGTCTATCTCCAAGTATTTTT